GACGACGTTACTCTACCACAACATTCCATACTGCAAACAGTGAGATTGACAGCACTGCCAACAGCTGTTTCGTGTAAAAAGATAAACATTGCAATGGAATACGAAAACCACTAAACCTTTAAGCCTGTTGGATCGGACCTTATATAAAGGACATTGAGTGGGACCAAGAGCAACATAAGCGGCAAATTAATCTGACTCAAGTTAAGGCTGGGTTTAGACTAGGCAAGTCATTTGATCAACTCAGTTGAAAGCAATTGGCTGGAAAAGTTGAGCCTGGTTCAACTTTTTTCGATTCAAGTGAGTTGATCAAGTCAGTTGAATGGCATGGTTTACACGTTCAATGCGCGTTCAAGTCAGTTGAGTTCAACTGACTTGATCAATTGACTTGCCATGTCTAAACCCAGCTTTACTAAAATTTGTAAAGGGAGTGCAGTTTCGAACCCCTTCGGATACGGTTGTGTTTTAAGTTTGCTCTCTGTTTTGTGCGTGCGTTCGCTTTCATAGTTTTCGGCTGCATTTGCCAGATTAGCGCTGGCACTCTGCCTCCCAGACGGTTATACTATAGTCGTTAGATTCATAGTCTGGCGGATAGAATCTCGGGAACCAATTGAGTTGTCAAATAGCGGAACCAATCGAGCAAATACGACCAACAACAGCACATCAGCTATTGCGAACAAAACTTCGGAAACCCTTGTGTCGTGACTCAAGGCTCGCCTACGAAAATTAACACCATCTTTGGGTTGGCAAAAGTTTCCCCTATCCAATGATGCCAATGAATTGGTTCCGCTTTATGATAGATTGAAATTCTATCCGCCAGACTATGAATATAGCGACTCTAGGTTATACGTGTGTGATTGGTGGTTTTCTCACTTTCCGGGAAGTTTTAGAATCGAGAAAAACGTGATTCATTATGTTTGCAAGCATCATGCGTTGTTTGACTTTTTCTCCCGGACCAGAAATTCGAGGCATTTTTTTTCCTTGATTTGTTTTCCGTCGATCTTGTTTTCCGTGCTTAGCACCAATGCTACCGACGCCAAGGTGGCAGCTCCCACACCTGGAACCTACCTATCGATCCATCAACTCATGAACCGGGGACCAACGGCTTTACTTCCCTTGATCAAAGATGTTATGCCTCAGAACATCCCGGCGGTGCCGACTGGGATTGAACCCAGGCCTGCTGAGGTGAGAGGTAATCACGCTTACCACTACACCACTGGAACCGCTGAAATTCATGGCATTGCAAGTGATAATTTTAAATTTCAGTTTATTTACGCGCTGTAAGTTACAACAAATTAAGTGTTTTCGACCGAAATTGATACCGAAAGTGTACAAAAAGTGCTTCTGAACGTGTTTCGCAGTTGGGTGTAATGAAATTCATGCATTTCCGGTTGATTTTCAGTGGAAATTCCGAATCACAAAATTGCTCACCGAGTTCTTTTTTTTTGCCGTTCAACGACGACAGGTTTGCTTTTGCGAGAGTGACGTTTATTGGATCGGTTTCTTTGCACGTGTGTTTGTTGTAACCAGTGGTGTGTAAGTGTGCTTGTGATTTTCATTGCCTCCCGGGAGGCCAGTTCACCGTGTTCGAATGTCACGCTTTCGGCGTGTAGTTCTATCGGGAGTCTCGTCACCGTGTGCGAGTTTGAAAACGGTCCGGTTGGCAAATCAGCCGAGGAAAGTGCTGATAATGTGTCCGTTGTGAGTTTTGTTGGTGATTTGGTGGCCGACGTTGCCATGAATCAGCGAGTTTACGGCTTGCGAAAGTGCTCGTTTGCTGGTCTCTCGCCAGTGTTGGAGATTGTGAACAATCTGAAGGATGCCTCGCTGGATACGCCCAAGACTGGAAGGCTGGTAGCTGGTTGCCGTGAACGGTTCCTTGAGAAAGCACTAGACGCAAACCTCCTCCCAGTTGACCATGGCAATGCGAGAAAATTTGTTTTCGTTGAAGGAAGTATTACAAGAATAGTAATTGCTATTAGACATTTTTGCAAACAGTGACATATAGCAGACATGAAGCTCAAGTGGAGGTGCCGGGCAAAGCTGTTATATCCTAGACAAATGGTAAGTTACAAATTCGCTGTTGTCGACGTCGTAGGCGTTGTCATATTCGCCGTCGTAGTCGCTGTCGCTATCGCCGTGTCGTAGTCACCGTAGGCAGTACCGTTAGGATATTTAAAATTAACCATCAACCGCTGAAACTATATGAATTATCGCGTATTTCTGTTGTTGATGACATAAACAGTGATATTCGAAATCGTAATTTTATTTATCGGCTTTCAGTCTTTTAGCGAGTAAAACGATGTTTTTCCTCTACTCCCAACGTTTCAATGGTATATTCCATCTTTTTCAAGGGATCTACAAAGAATTGTTACATAGCTGAAGATGTTTCAAAATTTACAATTTTGGTGACTTACAGAAAATAACGTTTTTGGTCAGGTGATCTGTGATTAACAGTGATTATCGTCACTTGATCGAAATCTTGCATCAATTTATCTATAATTAATCGTCAATTAGTTGTCGGAGTCTAAATACACATTCTACAGTCATAATTACTATCAAACAGGACAAACGAAAAAAAAACGGAAAAGCATTCGGTCACTACTTTCTTTGCGCTAGTCACTTTGGTTTTAAAGCGTCATTTTGTATCGTTCTAGTCAAGTGGGTAACATTTGTGGGTCTAATTGTCTGTTGGGTGTAAGTTGGTTGGTATTTGTCAATCTATTTATTTGGTTTGTTTTCGTTTTCCTTAGTGTGTGTCATATCCCTGCGTAAGTTGTACTCAAACTGTCACAATCGCTTCGCTTGTTTACCGCTTTGTCTGTGTTGATGATGTGGCAAACCTCCAGCACGGGAAGCGCTGATCGTCGTCGGTGGCTGTCCAGAATCTCTGTCCTTTCATTTAAATAGCTTGTTTAACCAGGGCTCAAAAAATCGTCACGTCGGTCATAGCATGTTATGGTTGCCTGAACAATGCGTAAAGAGCAAATCGAAACATTGAACGTTGCGTGAAAGTGGAACTTAATGAAGGCCTAAGTACTTTTTCGTAGATTTTAGTTTTCGGATTTGTAATATCGTCGGTTGCAGTAGCTTGCTTACTGAGCAGAAAAACGCGGTCCCAGGTCCTTTCATATTAAAAATGTATGGAAAGATAGCTTGTTAATCATGTATTTTGTAAAACTTGTCGTTGTCGTCGGTGTCGGGTTTGAATAGTTATAACAACATGAGTAACGGTATAATGTGGTACATGAGGGGCTAGGTGGCCTTTGAGCAACCGTTTTTGCTTACTGAGCAAAACATCATAAGTCTAATCTCAAGCCCATCCACATTCAAGATTGAAATAATCCAACACCTTCCGGGCCTTCACAGGGTCAGCTGTCTTCGATTTTCTTCCACTTCCAGCCCGCCGCTCGGTCGTCTGGGACTCCTTAAACGATTTTACCACCCGAGACACAGTTGTATGGGTGATTCCCAGTTGTCTTCCGATCCATCTCATGGTCGCAGTCGGATTTTCCATGACGGCGCGCAAAATTCTCCGGCGATTTTCTTCTTGTTTCGATGACATCTCAATAACCACTGAACCGATTGTTATGAAATTTTGCACATGTAAACAATTCACTCCAAACTAGTTATACACAAATTTTCGTCAATTTTTACCCACGGATAAAAAAAAGTTACACACGGATAAAAATGGTGCGAGTACAAGTCTTACATGGCAATAACAGCAACTCGATGATTAAAAAGGAACCCGACTGCCTAGTGGAAAACGTTTTTGCTTACTGAGCAGAGACCGTGGGTTCAATCTCAATCAAGCTCCTTCGCGTTACATGATCGTTAGGACATCAATTCAGCTTATCGTTAACCAAAACGAACTCTTCTGCAAACCCAATCCTATTACCCAATATCCCAGTGAGTCCCCCCCTAACGCTCATATATGAGTCAATTTCACTCAAATATGAGTGACATGTACTCATATTTGAGCAAAAATTTTCTCATTCTATCAGCCACCTGCGCTTTTGCAAATTTGAATGAACGGGACTCACATAAGTATTAGATACATTTGCCGTGTAGGTACGAGAATAAAGAAACCTGGGGTTCCATAAATACTTACCTGATTTTCACATTGCTGGGTGAAGCAGTGGTTTTTCGGTTCTTAGTGTTTTGAGGATTTTAAGTTTCGCTTATTGGTATTTCGTAAGTGGTTGGCCCATAATCGAGCAATCAGTACCACCACTGCTAAGTACATCGATCGCACGACCAATGATATTCCATCATTGCTCAACAATTACATTCTCCAAATAGTAGAACTGCCCCACGTTACAGCCAGTTACAGATATCGAAATTCTTCCCAAACGGCGATTGATTTATGATTAAACATTGAAATATGATCATGAAAAAAAAAATAAGCAAATCTATGAATGAGATGAGTAAACACAAACACTATGACTGGAAATAAAAGTGACATGAACACTGGAAAACAAAGCTACTGGAAACAAAGCTAGTAGGTTCTAAGACCACTACGATACACTACTACAAGTTACAACTGAGAGAAACATCAACACTCAAACACAACACCAAAAAACAGATTCTCCGCGCGCAGCCTTCATCGCGAAGATGAGGCCAATCTGCTCTGTCAATTGAAATTCGCAGTAGGTCCGGAGAAATTTGGAAGGAAACGTTACACGCACACTATAACTTAGTTAAGGACATGAGTATCGAAAACGGTGGCAAATTTTGACGCTATTTTTTTGTTTTTGGGAGGTCGGGATTATGTGCAATGATTTTCGTTTTTCTTTTATTTTTTTTTTTCTGAGGACGAGGAAAAGCTTTCAAACAATCCTGGTCCCTTCCCGATCGTACCGTGCCGTGGCACACCGATCGCGGAGGGTCCCCAGGGGTGACAGGAGTATGCATTAGCAGTGGTATAATTAGGGTGAGGCATAATTTCAAACTGTACTCAGTCTCAGTCGTTTTGGGTCTGATTCAAGCGATTCGCTACTTACTTCCGGCGGATTTGGGTCCCGATTCGGTTTTGCCTTTGGCGGTTTTGCGCGCCGCCGACGAGGGTTCTAGTTTTTTCAACGTCGAACTGGCACTGGCCGCCCGAGGCCGGTTCTGCGAGCCAATCTTAGTACCGAGTGTGAGCTTAGCGCGTGAAGGATGGGTCGTGGTGGTGGTGGTGGAAGATGTGATGTTGGGGATGGAGTTGTTATTGCATTGATCGGGCTTGGTAGATGGCGGTGGTGGGACTTGGGTCTGATTGGGAAGATGATTATTATTGTTATTGTTATTGTTGTTGATGGTATTGTTGTTCTGGATGTTGCTGTTGTTGTTGTTGTTGGTGGTGGTTGTGGTGGTGGTGGTGGTGGTCGAGGTCGCCACCGGGGGTCTACTGGGAGGAGCGGAATGCACTCTGGTGGGGCCACTTTGGGGCAGAGTGTTGCTCTTAGAGCGGGAATGATTGGTGGTTGTGGATAGGGTTGCTAGAAAAAAATGGTAAGTAATCCGGAAAAGAATAGAAAACAAATTAATATGAAATGTTTCTATCGAGACTAAGAAAGAGAGAGAGAGAGAGATAGAGAGAGTGTGACAGATAGAGAAAGAGCTTTCTGCTACTGAAGTGGGTGGAAGGAAACTTAGGAAGCGTAACTGAAGGGGAAAACCGTGATGGTGGTGAACAATGATAATGCATGAGTTGATGGGATGATGTATGATCGATTCGGATGAGTATGTATGTAAAGAACAGAATTGGAACGTGTTGATTTTTGTTGTAGGTAAGAACGCCTTCATAAATCGGAGAGCATTGCTATGCTTTGAGAAATTGTGATTTGCTTTTGTAAAACTTGAGTGATCAAAAAGACAATTATTTCCAACGATTTATATAAAGAACTTAGTCCACCCAGAGGGTACTGACGAATGTTATTAATCAATAGTTCTACGAAACCTATCTTTAATATGATCGCTACCTTATTTGTAGTAGTTAGAGTATCGTTAATAATTTCATTAGAATTGTGCACCGTAAATATCATACCAATAGAAACGTAATCTTTTAATCATCAAGCCTGAAAGTCAAAGTAGCATTTTTCCAATTAAGGCACTCCAATCATTTCTAGGATTTTAATCCCAACCTCGATTACACCGCCGTGACAAACTATCTCAATCCGACTATTTATCTACCTATTTATCTATTCTATATATCTACCCATCTATCTATCTCTACACATACACCGTCTGTCTGTCACAGAAGGAAGACGACATCCATCCATTTTGCTAGAAAACTACCGATTGTATGCGGATCTCGTATATCTATGTATGTATATATCTGTAGACACATATGATGTAACTCCATCCCTCGTAACCAGGAAAAATTGAACAGAAAACGAACAAAACAAAACAAAAAGCTAACTCTCCCTGCTTCCCCGGAGCAACTGGCTGGTTGTTGTAAGTCAAGTGTCTAGGAGTGTGAAAGTTGATAATGGCGATGACAATCTTGCCCACACCTTTCTACCATCCGCTTGCTACTAGACAATAACCACCGGCGTCGGAGTTTGGGATTCCAGTTTCGCATTCCAGACTAAGCTAGAGGACGAGCAAGGAAGACTACTGCGCTAAACTATTTCTGCACCGAGCGAACGAACCACACTTGAGGAGAGGATAATTGAGGGTGGTTTGGGAGGTTAGTTCCGGGTGTACCGGAATAAAGATGAATTAAAGTGAAAGCGTTAGAAGGTTTTTCCTGTTTTCACTGTGTGGGGTGTGAGTGTGCTTGTGTTTTTAAAACTGCACGGACAAGGGAAGCGACTCAACATTGAGTTGAATTCTACTCAATTTTGCAAAACGTTGATTTTCTCACAAAGTGAATAGCATTTTCCGAGATTTTCCAAGATAGACATTCTCGAATACTAGGAAAATCGCGAGAGGATTCGCTCAGTCTATTAGTATACTCCTAGACTGAGTAAAATTTTCATTGATTTTCCTGGAAAAGATCCGAAAATTTCATTCGCTTTGTAAGCAAATCCACTCATTTGAGTCGATCTCGTCGTCCGTGTGGAGGTTTACCGCTATTATTCTGCTGGCTAGCTGAAGGTGTTGCGGTGGATGCCAATCTTCATTTATCCTTCGTTTCGCGTTTGAAATGGAAAAGTGCTTGAATAGGGGACTCCCTTAGAGCTTCGCAGGTCTCATCCACTGGCGTGCATAGGTGTTTAATGGAAGGGCAGGCTTTTGCCTATTAATATTAACGAAGAAAATTCCTAGAAGTTTAACAGAGGAGTTGGTAGGATGCATCAGCCACATGTTTTCTTCATTGAAAGACTTTAGGAAAGAGGCTGTTCAGGAAAACTCATTGGGCTCCCGGCTATTTTTTCATTTAAATGGATGTTCAAAACGAAATTGAATGGCCTTGTTTCCAACACTTATATGATTATTCAGAATCGAGTTTATACCTATTCGGTTTGGAGATACTCGATTTCCGAGAATTATCACTCACTCATTCCCGGGATGGAAGTAAACCTTAATATTGAAATACACATCATTAATAGAGCTCTGGTAATTTAAAAGAATGTCATTTGGCAGAATGTCGATGGGCTTCTCACTGTTTAGAAAACGAAAAATCATAAAATAATAAAATTATTTAAGTGTAAATTCATGGCAAATTTGCTAATTGGGATATTTTTTTCAGTAAATCAAAACTCCAAAGAACTGCTCGAAAAATCTACTTAGAACATTAAATTCTTATTTCTTTTTGGTTTTTTTTTTTTTTTCATTCTGTGGTGTCACTTCCCAAGCAACACACATGTTCTAGAACAGTTTATATAACATTTGTATGGCTTGATTTGGTTGTATAGAAGTTTACTCAACATAATTCTATGAATTTGTGTTACTTGGGTTGTTGTTCTGACATGTTCTGAGATGCACGAAGAGGACTCATTGATATTAAAGGGTGTCCACGATGAAATTGCCACACTATGAAATTGCTCTAACTTTTTAACCGTTGGGTAGAATTTAATGAAAATTTGGGTGGATTTAGTTCATAGTGCATTATTTACATCCTGCAAGTTTTAAAGTCCTGTGATCAAAACTCGCGGAAATGGAGTCGAAAGAACAGCTCGTGCGTGATAAAATCTTGCGCATTCATCACGAGAACAAGGATCTCTCGCATCGTTCCATCGCTAAAACGTTGGGAATCGCGAATTCCACGGTGTCGCGAGTGATTAAGCGGTTCGAGGAACGGTTGACCACCGATCGGAAGCCCAGAAGTGAAGGAAAAAGTATTCCGTACAACACCAAAAATCACAACCGCGTAGTTGGGGCCTTCAACCGAAATCCGAACGCCTCCGTTAGGGATGTGGCTAAGAAGCTGCACCTAAGCCGAAGTTTTGTCCAGAAGGCCAAAACTAAGGCTGGGCTTCGAACGTTCAAGGTACAAAAGGCCCCTAATCGCGACGAGAAGCAGAACAAGTCCGCCAAAACCCGTGCCAGGAAGTTGTACCTCAACATGCTGACGAAAGTTGAATGCTGCATCATGGACGACGAAACATATGTGAAGGCCGACTTCAAACAGATCCCCGGCAACCTGTTTTTCACGGCCAAGGATAAGTTCAGCGTTCCGGAGCATGTCCGCACTCAGAAGATGTCCAAATTTGCGAAGAAATTCCTGGTTTGGCAAGCCATCTGCACGTGCGGGAAGCGGAGTGCACCTTTCGTGACCCAGGACACGATGAACGGACAGGTGTACATAAAAGAGTGCCTCCAGAAGCGGCTGCTTCCTCCCCTGAAGGCCCACAACGTCCCAACTATCTTCTGGCCGGATTTGGCCTCATGCCACTACTCCAAGGACGTGCTGAAGTGGTATGCGGACAATAAGGTCAATTTCGTGCCGAAAATGTTCAACCTTCCCAACACTCCGGAGCTCCGCCCCATCGAGAAGTACTGGGCGATTATGAAGCAGCACCTTCTTAAACGACCTAAGGTAGTGAAGACAGTCGAGGAACTGAAGAAAGTATGGGTTTACATGCAAAAAACGGTTGATTCACAGGTTGTGCAGAATCTTATGGCCGGGGTTAAGGCCAAGGTGCGGGCATTTGCGTATGGACTGTAAATAAAATACGAGTAAAATGGTAAAATGAAGTTTAATAGTTATTTCTCAATCCCTGAAAATTTGATGGCAATCGGATGAAAACTCGAATTTTGCGAATCAATTTTGTGTGTGGCAATTTCATCGTGGACACCCTTTACCTCGGATTCCACTTCCCAAAATTCCATTAATACCCCGAATTTCATTTCTCCGTATGACCCGTAGCCCCTTAATTTAGGGGATATGGCTCTAATGTTGGCCTATGGATCTAACATTAGGCCCATAGCTAAAATGCTGCTATTTATCAATTTTATCTAGATGAACGCGTCATTGGGACGGTACTAATAGATATTTTTGGTCACTATTGAAAATTTAGTCGATAGCTGAATTTATGTATGGGCCTAAATTAGGGACATTTAGGCCGACATTACATCCATTTCCCCTATAAAATAACTTTTCAAAGAGGGAAATGTTGCCTTCCATATTAAAGTATGCACAGCATAACAAATTGCAAGCCCATTATTTATTTCTTTGATTTTTTTTATTGAATTTCAATACATAATAGAAAATTGAATACATGCTTTTTAAAACAAAAGATAACATTCAAACTTAATCACCACCTAAGGTATGTTCCAGTTAGTATTTGGTCGCTTCTTTTTAATTTTTGTAGCGCCTCTAGTTGTCGTACCAAGAAACTATTGACAGCGTTTTGATCCGGAAGGATTATTTAGTAGAAAAAGTTTCATCAGGATTCCTATACTTGTTTAAAAGTTATCGAAGATGGAACGTGACATTCGTGTAAAAATTCTGCACACTCACGTGCAAAATCCAACGTGGTCAGGAGGAATGATTGCAAAGGCTCTCAAATCTCCAAAATCGACTGTAAATACCGTGCTTAACCGATACCGGGAAACAATAACGTTGGATCGTGCAAAACAAAACAAACGTAGAAGTGGAACATATGACCGAAAACTACGAGTGAAGGTCATAAGGGCAATCCAAAAGAATCCTGGGATCTCCGGTCGTGATTTGGCAAAAAGTTTCAGTGTGGCACACAGTACAGTTCGGCGAATCTGAATGCGAGTAGGTTTCCGGTCGTACCATGCCAGCAAACATCCCAACAGGACGCTGAAACAAAACCTGGTTGCCAAAAACCGTGCAAGGAAGCTGTACGAGCAAGTTCTGTCCAAGTATAACGAATGTGATTTGATGGACGATGAAACTTACGTAAAAATGGACTTTGAACAAATCCCGGGCCAAAACTGTTACTTTGCTAAAAGTCTTTGAAGATAAGTTCACTTGCAAGTTGCTGATTTGGCAAGGCATCTGCAGTTGCGGAAAGAAAACAAAGATTTTCATCACTGGAGTCAATGGACAACTTTACAAGGAAGATTGTCTCCAAAACAT